GGAGCATAGCGTAACCGTATAAATAGAATAGAATTCAGGTAATTGTTCTTTTTATTTTCTACTTAATTACTGATAATGAAAACAAAAATCAATTTGATAATTATCAGAAGCAACTTATAATTTAAATTAAACTGCGGATGAATCCTAGCGGAGTCATAAAATTGTGTAAATATCATTAATTCTGCTCCACCATTATTTGTTCTAGAGCAAGCGTGGCGCACTCGTGTTGCATTTACTGGCACTGGCCCAAATATAATTAGCTAACATCACCAAAAGCGGCACAAAGCTAACAGTTAAGCAGATAGACGCAAAAACTCTTTATTTACGACCACTCGCACAACTAACTGGACTTTCTCTGTTTCTTTATAACTTTTTCCATAGTCATGTTTCTTACCTTGTTTTTTGGTACGTGTGTTTTATTTGAGACGAATCGTTGAACTTTTTAGATCAAAATATATTTATAAGATATATAGGGAAAATTTGTCTAAATTATAGAACATACAGTAGAAGTAACAAAATTTTTGCTATATTTCCATGTAATAATTACTATTTCTTTACTATATAATAGATATATATGTTATAGTATTTAAAAATATCAAAGTTAAATTCCATGGCGCTAGAATCACAACAACCACTTAATTTTAAACCAGCGAATTTGAAATTTATATCTACACAAGATAAAAAAAATGTTTATTATATAAAAAAAAAATTTCCTTTTATATATCTGTATTCCTTTTATATCCTTTTATATGTATTTATTGTCAACAATAGTATAATGGTTAAACCGCACATTTACCCAACTTAACTGTAATAATTTGTGTAGTTGAATTTAATATTATAATGATAGTTTGTTAATATAATAACATTAAATGTATATGACGGTATTATCACAGAAAGGTAGCGCACTAAGCCGTATCCTGGACGTTAAAAGCAATATTTAGTGATGTGGGTTTTGTTATTTTCCTATTACTATAAATATAAACCGAATATGGACTTAGAATATATGCTTTTCATTATTCATATTATTTATTATATATAAAATGAAGAGAAAATGATTTAGATATATATATTTTTTTCAAATATTTAAATATAAAAAGCGTACCGTCTCTAGAAATCCTATAGTTTTTATAACTCATTATAATACTCACATTGAAATATATATAACACAATAGCTGTTGTTCATTTTCAATTGTGTCAAGACGATATTATGGCTAGGACAGAAATGTACCTTTAATTTATTTTCCTAATATAAAAGGCTGTGAGAGCTCATAATATAAAATAAAACTTTTACACTTCATGGGAACAAAAGGCGAAGTTAAAAAATACAGTGGATCAGGAACAAAGGTTGAGCTATGAGAAGCTCTTGTTGTGGAATTAAAATGTTACGTTATTCTTGTGTTATTTCAAATAAACCAGGTCAGGCGGATCCTGTTGCCTTTATTTAGTTTTACTATTTATTATACTTGATAAACAATTCATATTCTTCTTCACATCAATGAATAATTTTAAATCCATACATACTAAAATAAGATATTTTTATTAGGGTTCCGAGTAATAACGATACACTTATACTTTAGGGCTTCGACCACTTAAACCAGTGATGATAATATTGTTATTTCAGGCTGTTCTTCCATCAAACAGAGTATTATCTTATACATTTTGAACCGGACAACTTGGAAAGCAAAATATACGAATTTATATATGTATATATAAGACAATGGTCTGATGAGCATATGATTATATTCTTATGTGATATTTACAAATAAAAAAAATTCTATGAAAAACATAAAACTCCGTAATGCTCATATAACAGGCGCGTTGTTAATTTTAACATAAAATTTAACTGGCTCAGTCACCGCCCGCGCCGTATTTACGATCTCTACAGCTACAATTTTCGACTTTCACAACCATTCATAATTTAAAATACGTGTGTTTAATATGAATCGAGTAGAATAAATGTTAGATTTATATACAAAATTAAGTTCGAATGAAAACTTTAAAACGATTGCTCGCTTCACGATCACCGACGAACGGAAAACCAATCTAAGATAAGACATGATATATTTGTTTGTGAAACTATACAAAACCTATTTATACTGGAATTAATTAAATTCAAAACATTTCCTTTTAAAGTGCTCTTTAAATCCAAACAATTTATTAAAAAAGTACATAATAAAAATCAAAGGGGAAAATATGAGGGTAGTATTAAGTCTAACAAAATAGAATGAGGGTAGTTTTATTTAATAATATAGATAACAAATTTCTATTTGAGAATAGTTTAACCACAGGTTCTAGTTGTGAGTTCTAAAATTAATCATCTGACCCATTTTCAATTTCAGCTGAAACCTGCCCGCCAATTTGTATAAGAATCAAAACACACTTACTGTGGAATATTTAAACAACAACTGACATTTTCTTTGCGACGGTACAAATTTGTTAAATAAATTAAATCGTTGAGTCGACTTCAGTATTTGTTTTGTTATTTAAGAATTAAATCATCTTTATAATGAATTGAAATTCAAAAGCGAATTAAATTAATTTAAACATGTTTAAAATACGTATTTACTTTTAAGAAGCAAAAGACTGAGCTATGTGTTGCAAACTTATACGACGTTATAAGTGTTTCACCTTAATAAAAAAATACATTTCTATAAAAAAAAATATTAAATCATGTAATAAACTTTATCTACATAAAACTCATAATTTTGACGAAAAAAATATTTTCGTTTTCATTTTAAGTAGCAAAGAAGAATTAAATAGACGACCTTTTATAAAATAATTATCTCAATTGTGGTATTGTATTACACCAGAAGTTTTAATTCTCTCTCATTTACAGTATAAAGATCCCATGTGGTCGGAATTAAACGAAATTAAGGCTAATCAAGCATTCCCTTCACATACCACAAATTTTCGTATAATTGATATCAAAAAATTAATATTCAATTATCAAAATCTAATTATAAAAGTCAAAAGCGTTGTTACTTGAATTGTTTCGTCTTCTTTGTAATATTTTAAGGAAATCGTCTTTCTCCTAAACTTTTTTTTCATTATAAAAGTTTAATTCGTATTCAGTCTAAGTGAAACATATTGTTTAAGAAAGAAGTTAATGCTATTACTCTTAAGTAAGTCAAAAATATCTTTATTATTGCTACTTGAAGAGAATAAGAAACAAATAATCTTTAAAGAAAGCTTATAGCACAGAATAACTATTTTTTTAATGTAGAATGTATAGAGAATATAAAATTAAGCCAAACGGTGGTGAACACTTCTACAAAACTTACTGAAAAGATGAAACCTCTCATCATTCAATGTATTCACCGTGCGGGTGCCGGGTCCATCGTTTTTGTGAGAGGAGCTTCAACAGTGACTGGGACTTGCGACCCAGGTAAAGTTTTAAATTAATTTAAACATTTATACGTAATACAAATGACATACGTATATCATTTGAGGCTTCTGATTTTTCTTTAAACACTTTTAAGACGTGAGTAACGAAATAACGATATAATTTCAGAAATGTATCAATCTAAATACAATCTATTTCTATGTGTTTGAGCAATAAACACTCTCATATATGTACTAATAACTAGAATATATTAGTACGGCTCCAAGTTTATACGCTTGGATTAACAAACGCGTTTCCAGAATAGTAATCAGTGGCCTCTTAGAGAATTTCACAAATAGTTTACATAGTCATAAGTTGTATTACAATCAGATATTATAAATACTCATTTCTTAATATTATTCAACATACGAATCACCTTTAAAATATTCCTTTAAAACTTCCATGTTCAATAGGTCAATGAAATATATCATAGCTAAGTTTTAGGTTCTGGCGTGAGCATGAAGTCCCTATATTCACAATTTAAAGCCTCCCAGGTTATCGGGCAGTAAATTCTCTAAGTTACCAGCACTAAATAATACGTAGGTTTATGGTACTGAACCGAAATATAGTAAGGCTTTAGTTATTGCCAGGCCGTAACACACCGTTAACTTTAGTTTCACTATTTCACGTTATTCATAGTTTATTGAATAATATTTTGATATGATTAAATAATTATACTAGTCCTTATTGTAATTAAAAAAACTATAGTAATTATGTACAATTTACAAATTACGATTTATTTGTTTAAAGGATAACAGAAGTAAAGTAGTTGGCTATCAATATATACATATTTCATTTTCTATTAAAAGGGGTAAATAAGGAAATTTAGTGAACATACTAATTGGTCTTATTTAAGAATCTATATATTTTTCTACATTATGATTTAGAAAAACGTCGATTAAAAAAATCGTCATTCCAATTCCAAAGATTTTCATTACAAATATCTAATGTTTAGACAATAAACACAAAACACAAAGGCACCAGAAGCTACGCTATCTGTATATTTGTCCACAGTTAAAATTAATAGGCACATATAAATTTAATCAATATCCACAGTAATAGTAAATAGAATCCCAAAACTTCGAACTCATCCAAATAAATGTGAAACAGATCCGGGCTCCGGTCTGGGAAGTTAAATTGCATAAATTAACAATTTCACTTATGCAATATGCTCGGGAAGTTTAGTACCAATCCCGGGAATGTCAGCTGATGGGATAATTAAAGAACGCTTGTCCGGGAACACGTTACGAGAGGATGAGGTTCGCAATTGTTATGTTACTTAATAACTATTATAGTCGTTTATTTTACTATATTTAATGATTTTCTATTCTCATAAATAAACATAAATGGAATAAATATAATATTTTTAGAAATCAGAAGCAGATATATTAAAAAAAGAAATAATTTTAACACTTGACCTAGTTATTTAGTCTCGAAAAGTAATTTTAACAACAAAATTAATTAAATAGAAAGAACAAAATCCTAAACTTAATAATTATTAAACGCTTTAACAAAACTACACGACCGGTGTTTGAATTACGAACGCCAAGAGCCAAGAGACAAGTGACGCGTGGCGGTTTGAATGCTTCTTTTATAAACAATCGTGTGGGTAGTTCTTTTATAAATAATGACGGTTGTAAGCTGATTGCTTATACGGCCTCTCCTGACATAGTGGCATCCTCGACACGAGCTTTTCATTGATCGTCACTTGATCCATCCGCTTCAACGTCTTCGTCCAGCAACGGTATCGAAGAGTGACCCCTGGCTGTGGTATAGAGCCGCTGGGACCAGCGACGCTAACGGCTCCAAGCTTTGAGTTCTCATTGAAGGAAGGCATCGAGGGTCCTATCCCCGAAGATAGTGCTCTGTCCGGTGACTCGTCTTCACTATTATTCTCATCAGCAGATCTGTTACTGTTATTAGGAATTAAGTTTAGTTTGTGTGACATTCAACCTTACAAACAATCCATCCATCGTCATTCAATCAATTCAAACTTCATCTATCACACAATAATAGCAACACGTATTCTGCCACCCTTTAAATAATAACAGAGTCGTTTCTTAAAACCACAAGTTGAGTATAGGTGCTCTTCTTCACGGCAGTAGACTCTATGCAGTATAACTGAACTTTCATGAACGCCTAAACAGTATGTCTGTAGTTCAACGAACGCCAAGACATTACGTCTGAAGTTCGAAATAGACGCCAAGGCCTTGAGCCTGAAGTCTCAACATTGAACGCCAAGGCCAAGCTGGCCTGTAGTTCTTACATCAAAGAAATAGACGCCAAGGCCTTGAGCCTGAAGTCTCAACATTGAACGCCAAGGCCAAGCTGGCCTGTAGTTCTTACATCAAAGAAATAGACGCCAAGGCCTTGAGCCTGAAGTCTCAACATTGAACGCCAAGGCCAAGCTGGCCTGTAGTTCTTACATCAAAGAAATAGACGCCAAGGCCTTGAGCCTGAAGTCTCAACATTGAACGCCAAGGCCAAGCTGGCCTGTAGTTCTTACATCAAAGAAATAGACGCCAAGGCCTTGAGCCTGAAGTCTCAACATTGAACGCCAAGGCCAAGCTGGCCTGTAGTTCTTACATCAAAGAAATAGACGCCAAGGCCTTGAGCCTGAAGTCTCAACATTGAACGCCAAGGCCAATCTGGCCTGTAGTTCTTACATCAAAGAAATAGACGCCAAGGCTTTGAGCCTGAAGTCTCAACATTGAACGCCAAGGCCAAGCTGGCCTGTAGTTCTTACATCAAAGAAATAGACGCCAAGGCCTTGAGCCTGAAGTCTCAACATTGAACGCCAAGGCCAATCTGGCCTGTAGTTCTTACATCAAAGAAATAGACGCCAAGGCTTTGAGCCTGAAGTCTTAACACTGAACGCCAAGGCCAATCTGGCCTGTAGTTCTCATATCAAAACTCGTGCATACTCTTAAAGAAGGCTGCACATGACTCGGGACACCATCACCACGCCAAGGCACCATGTATCGTGCCGCAGTTTGTGTAGTCTCCCCGTAGCTGCCACTCAGTAACTTGAGCTCATCGTCCGTTCAATAGAGCTTTCACGACTCGGTAGGGTCCTCGCATTCCATCTGAAGTACCCAGCCAGCCCTAAGAACTGGCGCACCTGTCGAACACTTTAGGGGATCTGTGAACTTACAAGAGCTTCGACCTTATGTGGGCTCGGCCCTACCTGACCCTGACTTACAACTCGTCCAAGATATTCAACCTCCGTAGTTAAGAACGAACACTTACGTAGGTTTATAGACAACCCAGCGGTAGTAAGCGTTTGGAGGACTTTTTTTAAAAGAGAAATACTTTCAACGATTGTGGAGCTCATTATGAGGACGTCATCCACGTAAACCAGGACCTGACCTAATTCTTCTGGGGTAACGAACCCAGTCAATCGATTCAAAACCCTAAAGTCAACGCATAGGCGGTCCGAACCATCCTTTTTCTTAACGAGTATGACCGGACTCGCGTACTGTAAGTTTGACTCCCTGATAATTCCTTTTTCCAAAAGCTCGTCTATAATTTTGCGGACTCCGAGATTTTCATCGTAGGAAAGCTTATAGGGTCGGTAAACCACTGGGGTTGTATCCGTTAATTGAATATTCATTTCGCCGGTGTTAACAGTAGTTGTAGCTGTTCCAGCGATAAGAAACTCTGAGATTCCTTTATGATTTTAAGCAACGATTCATAACTCCCTCAAGGGGCGTGTTTATCTCAAGACGCCGTAACGTGTTAATTTGAATAAGGGAATCAGTAGACCTCGTCAAATATTGATCATCTTTAGTGCGAATATACATGATACCATCGCGATTTAGTATATCCGTTCCTGCATTAATCGGTGCGTTCATACACGAAGAAGGGACTATAAGCAGATTCGCCTCAATTGAAATTTGACTTAACTCGAGAGTAACGTTCACATAAGCTTTGACTACTATTTCTTTTTCGCTTATACCCTTTAAAACACAGTTGGTAGACTTCGGTTGGCTGGCAAGGTACCTCAGCACGTCCGAGGAAATAAGTGACACGTTAAGAGCACCGCTATCAATGATAGCATCCATGGGAATGCCATCTACTACAACAACAACAATATCACTTCCACCCGTATTTTTAGAATTATTCTCCGCGCAAAGGTCAACGTTTCTCTCGTTTCGCTGTTGAGAACGATTTTTAGCAAAACAATCTTCTTCCTTGTGGCCCGGCTTTTTACAAAAAGTGCATGTAATATTGCTCGAGTTTCTAGCGGAAAGTGTTTTATTATCTGTGCTTGGCTTTGAGTGACAATAACGGCTAATATGTCCCTTACGACCACACACGAAACACTTCTGTTCGTTACGATTTGGTTGATTAAAATTTCTATTAGTTACCGAAGTGTGGGTGGGTAGTAGTTTTCCACGACCTGGTTTAGTATAAATTGATAAAAACGAAACTATTGTTTCCGGATTCAAATGTGCATTAGCAGCGGCAGCTCTTATTTGAGGATTGTCAATACCGCGGATCACTATTAAAGTCATAAGGTCCTCACTTAAACCGTTAATTATTCGTAAACGTAAAAGAGTGCGTCGTGCGTATTCTGTATAGGTAACGTACTTATCAGATGTGGTATTCATAGTTTCAAAAAGGATGTTAGCGTAATCTAACTTGCGCGGGCACAGTGATTTGAATTCACGTTTGAGATTTGTCCACGTGCGATCGGTCGTAACCCATTCGTTTAGCTAAATCTTTTTTTTTTTTTTGTCACCCTTGAGACACGAACCAATACGAGATAGACACTTAGAATCAGTCCAACCATTTGTCACCTGAGCGCGATCAACCTCGTCGCACCATAATTTTGTAGTGTAAATGTGCGGGTATTCGGTAAACAATTTTTAGTTCGTGTGTCATGCGTACTCGCCTGAGGCTCCGGCGTGCAGCACCTGGACACGTTTGATTGTGATGTGTTCAACTTGCCCTCGGTGGTATTACACGTAACACTGGGATCACAACACACAATTGTTTTTTTTTGAAACACTTGTTACGCAATTATTTTCTATCGACGTTAAACGATTCATGATCGAATTCAGTGTATTCGGAATAAAAACATCTGTGGTATTTTGAATGCGCAGGGACAGCGACCTATCGTTGTGGTGATTACGGTGGCGTACACTATCATGACGCGACGTATTACGAGTTCGGGCACGGTTTTTACTTCGAATTCTACTGCGTGAACAACACGCTGAACGGCGGTTATTAATTGAGGCCTTAGAACAGCTACGCGAGCGATATCGCGATCTACAACTCGTACGGCTGCGAGAACGATGTCGCGACCTACGCTCATTACGGCTAGATCTGCCAGCCATATCAAAATGAACACGAGAACTAAAAATATGTGTAAAAGACTTTGTTCCTTTTTTCTTGTGGGCAAAAAGTTACTTATCCCACTTCTGATTTTAGAAATCAGAAGCAGATATATTAAAAAAAGAAATAATTTTAACACTTGACCTAGTTATTTAGTCTCGAAAAGTAATTTTAACAACAAAATTAATTAAATAGAAAGAACAAAATCCTAAACTTAATAATTATTAAACGCTTTAACAAAACTACACGACCGGTGTTTGAATTACGAACGCCAAGAGCCAAGAGACAAGTGACGCGTGGCGGTTTGAATGCTTCTTTTATAAACAATCGTGTGGGTAGTTCTTTTATAAATAATGACGGTTGTAAGCTGATTGCTTATAATATATAGTATAGAAGATTTTGGTTGTATGAACAACTCTTTACATAATTTCAATGTACATATATGTCGTTAGTCGTCATCAGCCTATCAGAGCCCACTGCTGAACAAAGGTCTCTTTCTCACATGAAGAAGGTTTGAGTATTAATCACCACGCTTGATCGAGACGGGTTGGTGATTTCAAACTTATAATTGTGAAGTTATAAGTCCAGGTTACTCACGATGTTTTCCTTCCCCGTCTGTCAGTGATGCCTAAATACTCTGAGAAAGTACATATGACTCGGAAAAATCACATTGGTACTTGCCAGGATCGAACCCGCGCCCTCGTGCACAAGAGGCGGGCCTTTAACCACTAGGCCACCACTTGTACATATATGTATATTTTAAAAATACGTCAATAAGAGTACATTATTATTGTCAACTAATCGTCAATACTTACTTAATTTGTATTAATATAATATATATTTGAATTTCATCAATTCTTTGACACCTTAAATAATTGAATTCGAATCAGCATAACTTTACACTTCAATCATCGCTTTCAAGAGCTATGCAGTCGATCTGCTCCAGTGACAATTGCATTGTAAATGGAATCTTCTATTAATGGAGGCGACGTGACGAAGGATAAAACTTTTACCATCCATCAGAGAGAAAGAGAGAGAAGATTTTTGGATGATCACTGCTAAAAGATTTACATCAAACCAACGTAGTGCCTGACTACACGATGTTTCATGATTATCGAAAATATCGCGATATTTATTAATACCTGCTGGCCGCAACTTGCCCGCATATGAGTTATAACTTATCATCCTTATGAGATGGCATTTGATTTCTCAAGAACCTCTTAATCAGATACTAACTTATTGACAACAATGGAACTACTAAAGGACCCTGCTGTTTCGATAAAAGGTCAATGTCCTTTCGAGTAATATCGTAACATATAGATGAATTGAGAACTTCCTTTTTTTAATCAAGTTAAAAAGTGGCCTAAATTTGTTATTTTCATATACCTATCTGAAAATGACACTCTCATTAAAATCGGTCCAGCCGTCTTAGAGATCATTCGAAACAAATAGACAGAGAAACACCAGAAATGATATTTTTGATAAAGATATTATATGTATATTGTATATACTATTGTATGCGTTTAGTATAAAGCTGTTTATATAAAATCTCAAACAGATAAGATCAATATTATTTATTTATTAGTATATATTTACAAGTGAGATATTCACGACTGGTCATGCAAAGGTCGAATGTTGTACTCTTTTGTATATTATTTCCTTTTCTATCCCGTTTCCTAGCATTGGAATTTATATTTTATAACAATAATAAGATACAACATTTTACATTATCAGAATATTTTATATCACAATAAATAAAAAAATACATTGCAAATGTAATTCTGAAATGCCGAATAAAAACTTTTGTTATAAACAAAAGTCAGATATGTCATAGCTAAAATATCTGCAATACATAAAAAGTATATATTTTTAAAATTAATGTATTGAACAAAAAATTAAAGGATGTTTGGCCAGTTGACCTTTAACTGTATATAAAAATAAAATTACCAAAATATCATACTAACAAAACGGCTATTAATTTTTAATATAACCTCATGAAGTTAAACTGACTTCAAAAGGTCGTTTAGTGAACCAAAATTTTTCACGTTCCGACGGCGGAACAATTTACTTTTTGATGGTCCACGTCGCGGTATGGAAATACACTTTATCATAATGTGCTTCTCATAGACCGATACCAGTCCCTTTTTTCATAATATAAATAATTTAATTAAATTAATTCCTATAAATTTATAAAATAAAATCATTCCAAAGCTTCCATGAATTAAGTTGGGAAGTAAAAATGCAATTAATTTTATCTAAAGGTTAACAAATTGAATCTATACATAAGATAAAGTCAGGTAAGTTAGAAAACTTTCGACTGGAGAACGGCTGAATTGGTTGTGATAATTTTTAATTTATTATATTTATCTACCGTCCTCACCACCAGAATCAAAAATAAAACTCCAGAATTGAGAATTCAGAATGGAGAATTCAGAGTTCAGTGAGTGCGTATCATTGAAATATGTGATTATGAAGAGCCTTCGATAAATACAGGAGCATTAAGAACAATAATTGAAGTTTCATTTTAAAATATTATGGACCGTTCTAGAAGAAGCGACATTAGAGACGTCAGTGAGGCTGGCGTCCCTCTCTTTTAAAACAACGAATGTGTAATAAATCCGATATATATTTTAGATATAAAAAATCTTGACTTATTTCAAAAATGAGAGACCTTTGTCTTACATATTGTAAAATATTTACGCGTACGTTTTGAAATGTAGATGAAAAATAAAAAATATTTCAGCTAATTTCTAACACAATATTCATTAACATGAAGTAAAGTCCTTCCTAGATGGTATGCAAAAAAATGTTGTTTGGGAAAAGATTACATACACTTAATTATTTGTTATAGAATCATTAAAAAAATTGTCAAAATATACTTAAGTTTTTACAACGGAATTTTTATACGTTGAAAAATTTTGTGACATTTTTTTTATCATGAAGTGGAAAATGCGCAACTTATATTTCAAATGATGGTAAGTAGAATTTAAAACGTAAGTTACAACACATCCCAGTGAGAGTATTCCATTTTGCCTTGAAAAAAATCTATTTTTACGTTTCAAGAAATATAAATAAACAAATATCTATTATGTATCAGTCTTATTTAATCACGAGATTACAATGGAGAAAGTACTTTTAAATAGAACGATGGCGAAACTGTATAATCAATGGCTTCTATACTATCTCCATGTAACACGTATATTTAAATAAATTAAATACAAAAGACAATTACATACATTTATGTCACGAACAAAAATTTATTTATAGAAATTGATAAATTTAGAATGTATGTTTGTTTTAATAAGTGCTATTAACTTAAACCATATGTATGTGTATAGAACAACGAAATTATAACATAGAAAATATCTTGAAAGGGACATTTGAAATATCTACAATATTATTGATGTATTTTCTTTGTGCTATACATTGTAGATTTAACTCTAAATGTAGTTATAACTTTTAAAAATTTCATACATAATAACATTTACATTTTTACATATATACATGTATATATATTTATTATATATATAATATATTATTTTCCCTTTATAACAAGACAAAGTTATTCATAGCGTTATTGTTGTTTCACCGGATGAGAAAAGTATGTCATTTCCGCGGCACAAACTGTCTCTAAACAAACCATTCAGATGTGACAGATCAACGAGCACTTTCTCTTATACATATATAAAACGTTTAATACCATTAAATGAGCGTAAAGTATTTAGAATAAATGAAAAAAATTAGGCCAACGAATCGTGATAAAAAATGTAAACAAAGCATGACGTTTCAAAATTCCCAACATGTAAGTAACAGTTTAGTATCATTAGATAAAAATGAAAAATAATTAAAATAATTAGTTCATTGATTATTTATAAGTCATTCATAACATGGATATAATATGATTGTTTATTTAATTAAAAAAATATCACTAACGTTATGATGGGATAAAAAAACTGCAAAATGCTATAACATTTTGATCTTTATTTTAGATGCGACGGAAAAATAAACACTTCCCATAATTAAATCACAACCAATTACTTTATCAAGTTTGTAGTTTCAATACATTTGATTGAAATTTTAATCAATTAAACAAATTTTATAAATTTTGCGTACATTTACAGTAGAGACAAAGAATGTTAATTAATGACGAAATCAAATAAGCGTGTAATGAGATAGATGAATTAAGATAAAATCATTGAAAGTTTGAGACAAAATTTCTTACAAGGTCAGAAAATTTTGAAGAGTTAGATGATATTCAAGGCCTGTCAAAAATGTTTAGAGAATACTCGAAGATTAATGTCTCTAATATCTACATCGTTCTAGGTCAGGTCTGGGTAAGTAATTTATCAGGATTTCAATAAAATCCACACAAAAATTAATAAATACTAAATATATTTATTATTAATTTACAACGTTTTAGAATGTATTGTTCAAATAATAGAAGTTTAACACACAAAAAAGAAATTATGTTGTTAGAAAAATTTAATATTATATTTAGTATAATGATACAAAAAATTTAATTATTTTTTTTTTTTAATACTTCCCACAAATTTATCAACTTTAGTAGATGCTAATCTTGCATGTACTCTAACGAATCTTTAGACGGCATCTCTCATCAAACAGTCAAGTCCAGATAGCAAACCACTCCCGAGATTACCAACTATTGTAACGCCATGAATGCCACTATCTTGGAACATGGAAATTATTACCCATTGTTAGCATGGATTGGTCCCGTGATTACTCGACCGCACTTTGATCGTTTTAGACAATAGATTCGTTTGGATCATAGTGAATTATTGAACCTTTTATACACAAAGAACAGCGTAATCCCAATAAGTAAAACGCTAGAGAGAAGCGTAATTAAATGTAGATTTACAATTAAACGAAAATAAAAATGAAATTAAATCTCGCAAGAAATATGATCCCTAAAAACCCTTTAGATCGTGAGCCTCGAAGATTGTTAAGAGGTAAAGCACCAAG